AAAGGTTTTGGCAAGTTGTGCTTTCATTTCCATTTGATTCCAGGAATTTAAATTTCCCTCCCTGATGTCTAAGACTGTTGAGAGGGCGTATCTCCCAGGTGTGCTGGAAGTGAAGGAAGCAACTACAACAGTGAGAGCTATACAGGTGAAAGATCTGTTTTCATACTTAAAAAAAAAAATATATATAATTGTATGATTGTATTGCCTGCATGTACGTAAGTGCACCTGTGTTGTGCAATGCCCAGGGAGGTCAGAAGAGGGCGTCGGATCCCCTGGAACTGGAGTTACAGTGTGTTCAGGACTGCTTTCCATATCTGGGGTCTTTTGTGATTCCATATGAATTTTAGGTTTTTTTTTCTAATACTGTGAACAATGTGATGGGGATTTTGATTGGGATTGCATTGAATCTATCTATCTATCTATCTATCTATCTATCTATCTATCTATCTATCTATCATCTATCATCTATCTCTATCTATCTATCTATCTATCTATCTATCTATCTATCTATCTATCTATCTATCATCATCATCTATCTATCATCTATCATCTATCTGTCTATCTATCTATCTATCTATCTATCTATCTATCCATCTATCATCTATCTATCTATTGTTTTTGGTAGGATGGGCAGTTTCTCTTTTTTAAAAAAAATATTATTTTTATTTTATGTGTGTGAGTGTATTGCCTACATAAATGTAAGTGCATCCGTGTTGTGCAATGTCCACTGTGATCAAAAGAGGGCATCAGATTCCCCAGGAACTGGAGTTATGGACAGTTGTTAGCTGCTGTATGGGTGCTGGGAATTGAACCCCAGTCCTCTGCAAGAGAAGCCAATGCTCTTAACCACTGAGCCATATCTCCAGCCCCGGTAGGATGGTCATTTTCACAATATGAATTCTTTCAATCCATATGCATGGGAGGGCCATCCATCTTCACCAGAAGGTGTCCCCCTCAATCACTTTCTTTAAAGATTTAAAAATTTCACTCTAGAGCTCTTTAATGTCTTTGATCAAGTTTATCCCTAGATAGTTTATATTTTTTGATGCTATTTTGAATGGGTTTCCATGTACTCTTTCTTCAATCACTTGTTATTTGTATATAGAAAGGCTGATTTTTGTAGATTGATTTTGTAACTTGCCACTTTACTGCAAGAGTTATTTCTAGGAGTTTTCTGGTGGAATTTTTGAGATCTCTTAGGTATAGTATCATCTGCAAATAGGGATAATTTGACCTCATCTTTTCCAATTAGTATTCCTTTAATTTCCTTCTCCTGTCTTATTGCTCTACAAGAGTTTCAAGCACCATATTTAAAAGGAGTGGAGATAGTGGACATATCTGTCTGGTTCCTGATTGTAATGGGAATGCTTCCAGTTTTTCTCCATTTAGAATGATTTTGGCCATGGATTTGTTGTATATAGCTTTAATTGTGTTGCGGTGTGTCCCCTCTAGTCTGTTTCTCTCTATAACTTTTAACATAAATGCATGTCGAATTTTTTCAAGACTCTTCTGCATCTATTGAGATGGCCATGTAATTACTGATATGATTTATAACACTTACTGAGTTAGTATATTGAACCATCCCTGCATCTCTGGAATAAAGCTGACTTGATCATGGTGGATGATCTTTTTGATGTGTGTATGTGGTTTGCAAATATTTTGTTGAGAACATTTTCATCTATATTCATCAAGGATATGGGTCTATAATTTTCATTTTTGGTTGTGTCTTTACTTGGTTTTAGTATTAGAGTGATGCTGGCTTCATAGAAGGAATCTGGGAGTTCTCCCTCTGTTTCTATCTTTTTGAATAATTTAAGTAGTATTGGCTGTAGATCTTTCAGTGTCAGGTAGAATTCTGCTGTGAATTCATCTGGGCCTGGGCTTTTTTCAGTTGGGAGGTTTTAACATGTTCATTTGTATGCTTTGCTGTATGTGATGGAAATAGATACATAATTCCCTCACTTTTTCCCTCTTTGGTTAATTCATTTTCCTTCTGCTTTTCTTACTGGTTTTTGATGAGTATCTGGTTTGTTAGCAGCTGTGTCATCCCACTGCTAGAGTTTCCAGTCACTCCATCTAAGAGCGATACAGCTTTATGAACTTAAAAACTGGGAACAAGCTCCTTGTTTTGTGAACTTTTTGCTCCAGTATCCCAGTGATGCCTCTTGATCATATTTTTTATGCAAACCTGCCTTGCCAGATGGGAGTTACTTTCTCAGCACTTTGACAAGATACCTGACAGAAGCAACTTAAGGGAGCAAAGATTTATTTTAGCTCAGACTGACAGTGGGGAAGGCATGAAGGTCCTCACGGTGATGGGAGTGGCTCCAGTACTGGCAGTGGGAATGTAAGGCTACTTGGTCACATCTCTTGAACCAGATAGAGAACTCAGGCTAGTACCCAGCCAGCCTAACCCCCAGCTACTCAGTTCCTCCAACTACGGACTCAACTCTCAAAGATTTCACACCTTCCCAAAATAACTCCAGTAACTAGAAGCCAAGTGGTCAAACACATGAACCTGTGTGGAAAATTTTATATTCACTCAAACCAGGACATCCTTTGCCCACTGTATACATCTACTAGGAGTTCTGAGATGAGTCAGTGAAAAGGAATCTCCACCATGAAGCAAAGGGGAGGTGGAGAGATGGAAGCTCTTCATAAGTTTTAACCATTGCTTTACTTAAATTTCATGTGTATAAGTGTATTGCCTGCATGTGTGTAAGTGCACCCTTGTTGTGCAATGCCCATGGAGGTCAGAAGATGGTGTCGGATTCCCCTGGAACTGGAGTTACGGATGGTTGTTAGCCACCATGAGGGTGCTGGGAATCGAACCTGGGTCCTCTGCAAGAGCAGTCAATGCTCTTAACCACTGAGCCACCTCTCTAGCTCCTTACATTCTTAATTCTCTAGTTCCTTTCTTAATCCTTAACATAGCTCTGTGATGGTTGCAGTGTGTTGATCTTCCACATAAAGCTCAATGACATACAGCAGGTAAAACTACCAGGCTAGACCCAAAGCCAGATGCTGTCTCCTGCATCACATTCCTTAAAGCTCCAGTCAAAAGACCATTATGGGGCTGGGTTCAACTCCCAGCCCCTCAGAATTGTAACTCCAGTTCCAGGGGATTCAATGCGCCAGGCATGTATGTGGCACACATGCATACATCCAGACATTTCATACACATACATAAAAAATTAATAAGCCTTAACAAAAAGACCACTCTGAGATGGGTTAGGATACATAGGTGACCACAGAAGTTTCAAACATTAATGCTCAGATCTCTAATAACTTGCCTATGCAAGGAATAAAAGCCAGGGCTCAGTGAACAAGCCTGTGAATCCTGAATTCTGTGACTTTAATTGATCTGAATTCATTCCATGGAGTGAAAAGGCTGGATGTTTTATATAACCAGTATTTCACCCAGTACCTAAGTAGAAATCTCATTTGAGTTTGAATCAAGAATTGATTAGAGAGTGAAGTGTTAAATTGAGTAGATTATAAAGAAAAACTCCCAAAGAAAGCATATTCATTAAGTGTGTATGCAAGGAAGAGTGGTTCCTTTCAAGAGGGAAAGCTGATTAGTCAGTCAGAGAAATCACCTGGAAAGAGAAATGGGTGTTTAAACAGGCGGATTTAGAAGAATCAGAACAAAAGTATCGGTGTTCTTAGAAGCATACTGGTAAAACTGGAATGTAAACTCAGTTAGTTATTCCCTTTATTTATATCTTCAGTTTTCTCTGGAGGGAAAAAAGCAGAAAATACTTGCACTCTAGGCCAGCTGAGTGATTGCAGTCAGGAAGCTAATGTTTCATGTAACAAGCTCAGGGCTCACCTTAATTATAGAGAGAATACTGCTTCCCTACTCTTACTGTTGAGGTACGCTCCTCCAGATGGCTTTTAAGCCAACATCTTTATTTAAAGCTTTTGGGGACATGAGGCGTAGTCATCTTGTTGAAGTCTTTTCTCATGTATTTTGGTTCTTCTGCAGCAGAATTAGCCAAATCGGGAAGCAGTTCCTATTAAGCCAATTGGAAGCTGAGGGAGGGAGGCAGCAAGTGGCATTATATAAGGTCAGCTGTGTGCAGGTTTGTTCTTGGCACGTCTTTCTAAGAGAGGTAAGGCACCAACAAAACGTGGTGGATAGGGTTCATCTATCATTTCCATCTCTCTCCACTGCAGAAGCATGCTAAGATCCCCAGCCTTTGAAGGTTAGTGGGATCAGGATGGAGGGTGGGGTTAGCAGAACAGCTTTTGAGCTGGGGCAGTGGAGACTTACAAATGTGGAGAGTGAGAGGTGGTGAAAGTTCAATCAGACAATGGCTCATACAAGGAGAACTGAGATTGAGCTCAGAGGATTCAAGTTTAAAAACAAACATGCCATTGGATCACTACTATTTACTGATGTGGGTGCTGTTCACAGCATCCAAGCTTGGAGAACCCTCCTGAAGGCAGTGAGCTGAATGGTTATTAAGTGCCAGTAATGTCCAAGCTCATACTGTTTGAATCAAATCTCAGCCAGAGGGCACTGGGGGTTGCATAGGGCATGATTTACATGGCAGAGAATGGAGAGAGATGAAGGAAGCTTTCCTTTAAACTCCTTGAAGCCATTGAGGCAAGATGAGGACAGGCGGATGTTTGATACCACTAGGGCAAACTTTCCTGCACCTACCCTTGCCTGCCTTTTTCCTTAAGAGTGGGTGGGAACAGGAGGCTGAGAATTAGATTCAGAAGGATTTAAGCCTCCTGAGCAATAGGAACTAAATCATTTAGAAACTGCTGGTGCTATGGTGCTAAGAGCCAGCATAGCAAATATCCAGACTATTCAAATAGGCTTTAGGGGTATTTATATAAGTTGAGCATAATAACTTTCTGAAAAGTCTCTAAAAAACAAAACAAAACAAAACAAAAAAACCCCAACAACCCTTTTCACTTGCTTTTACCTCAAGTGAGGGGAGTCATTCATGGAGTAAACAGAAACTTCTGCAACATCACACTTCAAGTGCATTAAATAAATATAAATTTTATTAAAAACACTCACATAGCGTTATCAGGAATGATATAATAATAAACAGCTTTCAAATAACCTGCATAACATTACAATACTTACAGTATTTATAACCACCCTCAAATTTTATAAACAAACCCAACATCTCATGAAAATGAAATGAAACTAAGTTAAAAAAATAAAGCATAGAAAAATGCACGCAGTTCATTTTCTTAGTGTCGAACTGTGAAAATTTCCTACATGAGTCATCCATTATCTTAAAAAGCGATCTGTACATCACTGTGCGTCAATCAAGATGAAAAATTCATTCAAGTAATGTTGACACCACTCAGAAGCATTTTCAAGTATGGCTATGTCGTCAACCTGATATTCCTATAGAAGCAAATTGCAGACCTGCTTTCCCTCCATTCTAATGAGGCAGGCGGGATATTTACAGTTATCTGATATTTACAATATGCCATTCAATTTCCTCTCTTCCTATTTGACCTCTTCCTATCCATTTAAAACCACACTTCCTGTTCCTGCTGGCCAGCAGTTTGACAAATGACAGTGGGTGACATAAACCAAACAATCCTTAAGGATGGCCGAAGCAGAACTATCAAATGCAGGTATAGTAACATTAAACTTGTGTGGTTTGTGTGCAAAGCAGACATTTTGAAAATGCTTGTAACTTGGGACACAGCCAAAAGAAAAAAAATCACAAAAATCTGACCAATAAAATGCAAAGGCCTCCACTGATTAAGAAGCTACTAAAAGCTAGTAAGAAACACTGTATTTAGGTCAAAATGTAATGTACAGTCCTATTGCACAGCACAACACTCAACGCTAGAGAGGCCCTCATGAGGCATGAACCTGTATTCTCACTACTAGATCAAAAAACCTTTGAAGAGTCAAAAGACCATTGTTCAAAAGCTCCTCGAGAGCCTATTTTATAATTCTCTTTCAGCTCAGTGCATTCTAGTTTCATGTAAATTTTTACTTTCTTGAAATGGTGAATTTAACTTTAAAAATGCTTTTATTCATAATTAAGAGCCAACAAATTTACAAAAATTAGTTTTAGTTACTTACACCAGAACATATACAATAATAGGGATTCAAAATAAAAGGGTGAAATCCCTGAAAAGGAATATTTTTAATCGCCTATGACAATTTTACATAAACACAGATGACATGTCAGTATAAGGAGAACATGAGCTGAAATATCCCTGAATTTTTAAAACAAAAAGGTTGAAGTTCAAGTTATACTTGCTAAGAAATCAAGTACTGAAAAAGGTATGCTTTTTTTTTTTAATAAAGACTTTGAAAAAAATGGTGGTACACAACGCTGTGCGGTCCACTCTCCATCAACATCCTATTGCCAAGCTAGTGTTGAGGTATATGACAAGTAGGAACATCACTCACACCTTTTCTGAGTTCTCAGCTCACATTAGATTCTAGGTGTAGCAGTCTGAGTAGCACCATCGTGATGTGAATTTTGCTTCAATCCCATCTGTATACACATATATGTATATATTTAAATTTTTACAGTACTAAAATACTAAAGCATTGCGTTATTAAAAAAGTTTTGTTTTACAATTTAATTTACTATACAACTCTTTCACTTCTTTATACAAATTAATGATTTGAAACCACCACAGCAAACCAGCTGCCTCTTTTGTTTAGGGTTTTTTTTTCTTCGTAACCAACAGATTCACACAGACTTTGTCCTGTTTACTCATCTCATGCAGGCATCAGTCCACTCAATCTTCCTGGTAAGGAGGACACTTAAGCTAAGAAATGACAACATCACAATGCACATAACACAAACGCAGACTGCCATTCAGTTCTCTGAAGAGCACAGAGATCCGTGGATGAGCACGGGCTCAAGTGGACAAGCTTTGCTGCATCTGTAGCGTGCAGCCAGTTATCACCTGCAGGTCACAGAAAATCCTTAAACTGTACACACTGGAGCGATGAGCTTGTCACACCATTTTGTAAAACAGTATAGCACGGAAGATGAGCACCAGAAAACGTGTGTTTTGCGGACTAACATATCCAGTCAGCTTCGGTCTGGATTTAGTAAGCTGTGTTAGCAACAAACATGCTGCTCATCAGCAGATACATGGCAAAAAAGCAAAAATGTTTTAAAAGCTTTCCTTGTATCCTTAAAAAAAATAAACTTCATCCTAAACACGAAAGTAAACTTTTTCTTCTTTTTTAAATGTCTCAGTACCTTAGCATTGTTCAAGTTGTCAAAGCTTAGGTAGGCAAAGTGCTTCTAAAACACCACGGAAAATATTTATACATCTACATGTATTTGCACATATAAAATGTGTATATATGTACATATATACGCTTATTGTCCTACAAGGACATCACTGCATGAACAAAATCCAGAGGCCTTTAAAATGTCCACATTTTAAAAACTAAGCTTGTGTAAGAACAGGTAATTATGATAAAAACGTGAATGACAGGTGCCCCTGTTCTTCGGGGCACTGGAGTACACTGACAGTATCTTGATGATAAAAAGGCATTAATTTCAGCTATTAAAGACACCATTTTGTAGCACCATTTCGTAGAACACTCAAACAAATTCAGTGTTTTACTGCTGTTCACTTACTTTCTGTAGCTACGTTGATAAATAAGTTAATATTAAGTTTACAGTAAAAACTGCATGTTAAAAAGTCACAATTCCAGTATTTCAGTACATCATATATCAGCACCAGATGGTATTTGATTCCTGCAACTGTTCTAGTACAGTACTTGTGTTCCATGACTATGCAAACTCGCTATTATTAAAAGTGGTCACAGATGTGTGGAGCTGTGGGTGGAGGACCATCTTACATATGCTCTCACATAGTAAGAGAACCAGTGTTTGAAAATGTAAATTGTGGGGCACTTCCTTCTGGCTCTCCTTCCTACATAGAATGCTTTGGTCTTCCTGGATACCACCCTGACCATGTGGGAATTAAGTGTAATGGTAAGATTACCTTTTATTCTGGCTGATGAGGAGCTGATGTTCCTCCTCCCTGTCACACACACACACACACACACACGCACGCACGCACGCACGCACGCACACACACACACATTTGTCATGAATGCTGTGACCTGGTGATGGGCTGGTGGTGGTCACTCAAAGGGACAGCATCATATATATCTGTTGTAAGGCCCAGTGACCCGAGTGAAGGCATATGGAGATGTAGTCACTGTGGAGTCTGTGGTCATGGTCTCTGTCTTCTCGGCAACAGACTTAATGAAGCGCAGGTACGTAGGCTCAGAAGGTTCCTGAGCCTCAGCAGGCTCCCGCTTGACTTTTTTGCCATGGGTTTTCTGAGGCACATAGTCTGGTCCATACTTCTCACACTCTTCCTCTTTCTCACGGGCTTTCTCGGCCATTTTGGCTTCCCAGAGAGCCAAGCCATGCTTTGGCTCATTCATGTTTTTATGCTGGTAAAAGACTAGTGAGATCCTGGTGGGGTTTCTCCTATTAGGAGTTTTTAATGGGGTTGTGGCATGAAGCTCCCGCTTTGCACACTCGATGAGAAGTGACCCATGAGTTGGAGCCACAGCCACACCCCCAATGTCAGGATCCAGAAAACTGTGCTCACTGTCTGACCAGACCTCATCATTATCCTCTGCAGTGGAAGCTGCACCCTGGCCTGCTGCCCCAGGCTGCTTTTCCTGACTGTTGGTGTCACTCAGCTTGTGTGACAGACCTTCATGGTTAAGCCCTGGAAGCGTCTTGGATAGCCCATTAGCAGTGTGGGAAAGCATGTCATTCTCCTTGGTCTGGAGCTGAAGGGCATGAAGGGAGCTATTCATCATGCCTGGAGTGGCAGTGTAGGTATGGATCATGTGAGATGGTGGATGATGCTCCCCATTTTTATAGTCTATGTTTGGATGGCTCACACCGGGTGGTAATCTAGAGGCAGCTCCCATGAAGTGGCCATCCACCTCATGGGTTGAATAAGGAGGAAATGTTCCAATGTGGTGTATGTTCGGTCTTATGGTACAGCTGCTGAAGGCATCTCCCTGCATATTCTGGTTTCCATAACCTAAGTATTTAGAGGTAAAGCTCTGACTGTTTCCAAACCTCTGCTGGTAAAGCGTGTGGATGGGTGGTAGATTTAACTTGGCCAGATGGTCCTGGCTTCGATATCTATATAGATCCATGGGCTGAGACTGGGGGGAGTAAGAACCCAAGTAAGGGGTGCAGTTGTCCACTGACACATTTCCATTGCACTGATATGCTGGGTATTGGTTGTTGTGATTTAAAAGTCCGGAGTAGGGATTCATGGGATTAGAAGAACTCAAATATGAACCTGAAGCTTGGGATGGGGTAGAGTAGAGGTTTACATGGTTGGTGCCTCCATAAATTTCAGAAGTGTGTGAAGAGCTTGGATATGGACTAACTGGACTGGGCCGTCTCATGTATAGATTGCTGGATCCCGAGGAGTAAGAAGAGCCAACTGACTCAGACTGTGAGTTACTTGTCAAGGTGTGGTGCGGCTGAGGTGGTAGAGGCGGCTGGGGCAGATGTGGCTGCTGTGCTTGCTGCAAGTTCCTCTGTAGATGCTGGGGCTGGGGCCCCTGTATGAGTGATTCTGAAAGCCTCAAGAGTTCTGAGGAGAGGGAATAAGAGAGCAGGAACAATACACTTACTGTTTAAAGAACTCCAGTGGTGAGACTTAAATATATGCACTAGGATTAAGCCATCTGCTAGGCAAAGATGAGAGAAAAAAAGCCACGGCTCCTATTTACTTTTGTGTATAAATATTAGAAGTAAAAGGTACACTCTGCTAAATGGAGAAAAATATAATAAACATGTAAAAGCATTCTGCAGAGTCTGGGGTAGCTTGGAGTTTCTCTACCAGGTGTCCTCCTTCCTCTACCCATCTCCCTACCTTCCTTGACTCCCATGACTTCATTGTGTGGTGCTTTTGTAACTACTAAATACAAACACGAGTCTGATAAAGCAATGGTAACGGTACTGTAAGCACCTCTCATCTCTACTGTTCCCTGAAGGAAGGGAGCATGACTTATTTTATTTTATTTCCCCATTGCCTGGATGCAGCAGAACTTGTTATATGTTTAGTAAAATAACAAGATGTATTTGGGGAGTTAAGCAATGTTATGAGAAAATGAATGACATTTATACATAAAAAGCACATTATATAATTGGTCAATCATACTTCAAGTTTTCCAGAAAGGAAATTTATAGTTGTAGGTAATACATTATAGAAATGTTCAGAAATGTAAGGGAAAATTGTTATAATTTGTATGATGGCCTAATTTCACAGTAATTTTAGTTAAGAAGCATTCATTGGACCTTCAGTGGCAGGTGAGAACTGAACAGTTTTATCATTTCTCCATGCAAGACAGCCAGTGAAAACATTTGTTAAGCATCGTCAAGATATTATTCTGTGAGCTTGAAAAGTAGAGTAAGGGACTTTGACTCTACAAATCAGACAATACTAGTTCTAAGCAAACTGATAACCTAAATTTAATTTTTCATTAATTGCTAAGTCAATAATTGCTAAAATTTGGGGCTTTTTTTCTTAAATGGTCGCAATTGTAGATATAGAACAAGGGACTTTGGATACAGAATAAATAGAGGATTGATACTCTATTGTTACTCCTGTAAGTCTAACCTCTATGAGTAAAAGTTCTATAGAACAGATGCATGTGTGCCATGGTTGCTTCAGTTGACAAGACAGCTGGGGAACTGTCTCTATCCGACAGGCCTTGGGCATGTCTCTGAGACATTTTCTTGACTGTTGAGTGATTTTGAAGGGCCCAGCCTTGGGTGGGTGATGCAGCCCCTGGCCAGGTAGTGCTGGGTTCTATAAGAAAGCAGGCTGAGCACAGGTCAGACCAATAGGCCAGTAAGCAGTGTTTCTCCATGGTTGCTGCTTCAGCAGCTGTCCAGGTTCCTGCCTGAGTTTCTGCGGGACTTCTGTCAAAGACAGACTGTGCCTTGAAAGTATAAGATGCAGTAAACCCTTTCCTCCCCACAGCAATAGGAAGTTACTAGAACAACAGGAACCCTTAATCCAGAGTCAGCCTAAGGGAAAATTGCCTATACTCCTCCACTATCGAGGAAATCAAACTTTCAAAAGCTTCGCCTTTTGTTATCCGACAACCAAGTAATTCCAATGAGATGGGTGGTACCCTATATTTCACTGCCATCTCCAGAGTACAGCTGGACCCTTGCCACTCGAGAAAACTCTGGTACAGAAGACAATATGGACACAGCCTACCCCAAATGTAAGTATCCCACAGCACATAAACACACAGGCGCGTAGTTTACCTGCAAGCTGTTTCACGTGGGTTGCACTTTCAGTCTGTTTTGTCCGTGAAGAGGCCGCCTTTTCTTTTTCATTCTTACAGTTGTCCAGAGACGAAAGCTTCTCGGCTGCAGCTTTCTTGGCTTCTAGTTTCCTCTGTCGGCATGTCTTGACTGGCTCCGCTAACATCCTGACCTTCCTCCGAAAGGAGTGCAGCACCTGAATGGTGCCCCTTCGCTTCTTCTCCTCCTGAGCTTCTGCGCTCCCAAACTCATCCACATCCGAGATTTTATACAAAGGCAACACGTGGAGCTGCTCGTCCTCTGGCTGTCCTCCAATTTCTCGATTGTCTTCTCTAGTAAGGGTGCACACCTGACAGGGAGGGGGGCGGTCCAGCCTTAGGTACATAAGGTAGGGGTAGGGGTGTGCGTGGTGCTTGCGTGCGTGTGTGTCTCTCCATATCTAGATGTTCCTGATCAGTGATGTGCATATTATAAACCCAAGTCTACCTGCTATTAATGAAGACAACATAAAAATGGAAGAGCTGTATAAAAGACAAGTTCTCAAATTTTTAAGTTTTCCAAATCCCTCAGAAACTTATGGGAGCTGATTTAAAAATAACGATTTAATTCATTTTTATAGTATGTATATGAGTGTTTCACCTGCATATATGTAAGTGCACCATGTGCATACAGTGCCTGCAGGTCAGAAGAGCATCAGGTTCCCTGAACTGGAGTTACAGATGCCATGTGGATGCTGGGAAACAAACCCAGGTCCTCTGAAAGAACAGTCCCAGCTCTTAACCACTGAGCAATCTCTCCAGCCCTAGAATGTCTGTTTTTTACACACTTCTTCCAGGAAAGTCACAGCTCCTTCGAATGAAATGAACTCCCTCTCGATCTGCCAGCCTTTGCCTCTGCTGGGATTAGAGGTAGGCGCCACCATGCCTGGCTCAGTTTACTGTCTTTGATAAATGGAAAACGACCTAAGAACAAGTCAATATAAAACCAAGTGGGAGATGCCCTTGAAAGGGATGTGTTCCTAAGATTCTGGTCCTTCTAAATAACTCACTAATATTAGGAGGTATGAGGAGTTACTCGTTTCCTACCCAGACTCATGTGCCTAAGAATGCCCTTCTGCACGTACATATCCCCATTCAGCTCTTTTCTGGTGCATTTAGGCTATAGAACCTGTGATCATTCAAAAGCAAGTTCCCCTGATTGGAAACACCTTTCTCCTTTGGTCATGTTCCATTACCTACTACATACTGAACACCATGTTTCTTCCACCTTCAAGGCTAGCATGGCCTCCAAATAATGAGTAGCTGTTCCACGCTGCACAGCTGGTGGCAATTTTAAGTGTCAAGGTGATTGGTAGGCCTTTGTATGCGCTCCTGGATCTGATGTCAGCAAACCAGGGCTGATGCCAATCTGCCTCAGACTGTTTTTTATAAAACTAGAAAATTTTACATTTTGAGTGGATTAAATAAAAAAATAAATCTCCCAAAAGAAAAGTGACAGAGATAATGTGTCTTGTAAAGACCAATATATTTACTATATTACCCTTTATAGTTTTCTGATCTTTGATCTAGAGATCAAAACATTTTACATTTGTATGCATGCATGTGTGGGCACACATGCATGGCATGAGTGTGTAAGTCATAGGACAAGTTGCAGGGCAGTCAGTTCTCTAGAATCACTTCTACTATATGGGCTCTGGGAATTGAACTCGGGTAGCCAGGCTTGGTGGCAAACCCCCTCACCTGCTGAACCACCTTGCCAGTCTCCAAACCAGCACCTCATCTTTTCTAACAAAAATTTCACACTAGTTTCTAAAACTTATGTTGGCTGTCATCTATGGTCTCCTTGAGCTCTTTTTCTCCTTAGGATGACTTCAAGGCTTGCCATCTATCTTATATCTCTCTGGTCATTTTCCACAGCTAAAACTACATCCATGTTGATGATGCACTGAATTGATAAATTTTAATTCCTTCATCATCTCCCCAAAATAAAAAAAAATCCCTTTATCTCCACTTTATTATCACAAGGCACAACCCTGGACTGGTCAGTACACAACACTGGTGTACCATCAGATATACCCATGTTTTAACTTAATGTGCTCTACCTACATGCTTGTAGTCATGCGTTCTTTTGAACTCATCGTATGTGTGAGTGTTGTGTGTATGCCATGTGCACATGGAAGCCAGAGATGGCAAACAGTCTCTACCTTATTATGAGCCAGAATATCTGACAACCTGGGGCCTGCTGACTTGGCTGGATTCTTGGGTCAGAAAGCCCTGGAGATCTTCCAATGTCTATTTCTAATACCAAGGTTACAAGTGCCTGCTACAGCACCTGAAATTTACATGGGTGCTACATACTGGAGATACAAGTGGGTGTGAGGCATCTAGTGTAGGTGCTGGGAACTTATTCTGGGTTCCTCAAGAACAGTGAGTGCTCTTAACCACTGATCTATCTCTCCAGGCCCTCTGTATGTATATGTGTGCGTGTTTAAGTGTATGTGTCTATGTGTGGATATACGCACAGAAGTGAGAGTGCCTGGAGGCCAGAAGAGGGTGTTGGATCCCTTGGAGCTGGAGTTACAGGTGGTTGTGAGCAGCAAGCGGTCTTAATCACTGAACCTATTCCTCCAGCTCCAATTTCGATTTTCCTCATAAGTAGTTTGAAAGGGTGATGTGTAGACATGCTTTAGATTAGAAATTCCCAAGTGTTCATGTGGTTATGGACAGTTTTAGTAATGTGCCCATCGACACATCACCTGGTGACCCTTGCAGAGAGTATACTTTGCTAAATACCAAGGACTGCACAGCTAGCCTGTGCTCAGCGTTGGGAGGTGGTGCTAGTGTTGCTGGGGCCACTTACCAGTGTGCTGCCATTCTGCATGTTGTGCAGGTCTCTGTGAGCGTGAGCACAGAAGTCTACACATGCAGTGACCCCTGAGAATGGACGGCCTTCCTTCAGACCCAAACGGCACTCGGGAGCTCTGTGTTCATACTCAATCTGAGGAAAGTAAGTGGGAAGGTACTTATATTTTACTCTTTGAAATAATGTACTGTACTTAATATCCACAAACAAAATGGAATGGCATGGAATAGAATGAATACTCAAACACAGTCATGATTCATTTTATAGTTTTTTTTGATGCCAGGGATCACACATGAAAGGTAAAGAACTCTACCGCAGAGATGCATTGAGGGTCCATAAACATATATTATATAAACATACATTAAGCACCATATATGTAAGGTATATTATTTGCTGACTTTTGGTCTGTGCATATATCTATAACCATTGCTATAAACAAAATAAAGTTCATGCTCTGCATTCCCCAAAGTTTCCGTAGGCCAGTAGAGTTTTTCCTCCTGCTTTGGTCAGGCAACTACTGACTTGCTTTTTGCCACCACAGAGGTTAAGGGTCAAGATCATTTCCCGACTCCATGGCTATTCAATTGGCTAGAAAGGAAGTTGGTAGACCATAACTGTTCACTAATATTTAGTGGTGAATGTGTATATAACAGAATCAAACTGTCTTGATTACTAGCAAGTATGGATTTTTTTTAACATAACAATTCAAATTCTGATCTTTAAAAAAACTGACTATTCAGGGGGCTGGAGCGATACCTCAGTGGTTAAGAGCACTTGCTGCTCTTTCAGAGGATTCTAAGTTCCCAGCACCTACATCAATTGACTCATAACCACTGGCAACCCCAGCTCCAGAGGAGCTGACACCCCCTTCTGGCCTGCTCAGGTGCCTGCACACATGTAGCAGGCATTCACAGATAGGGGACAGGGTCTCCCTGCAGCCCTAGCTGTTCTGGAACTCTATGGAGACTAGGCTGGCCTTGAACCCATAGAGATCTGCCTGCCTCTGCCTCCCAGAGTGCTGGGATTAAAGGCCCGCATCACCATGCCCATGCATATTAAAATTTCATCAAGGGCCAGCAAGATAGTTCAGTAGGTCAAGGTGCTTGTTGCCAAGCCTGGCAGCCTGTATTGATCTCCAGGACTCACACAGAAGAGGGAAAGAACCAACTCCTGCAGGTGGTCCCCTGAACTCCACACATGTGGCCTGGTTCATGTGTATAAATACATACACATTAAATAAATAATAAAATCCAACAAGGAGAACAAGACCTGAGGGCTTATGGACACACCAGATAGAGGGGAGGACACACCACCTCTGCAAGAGGTGGTACATGCAAAATCATCAAATAAACATTTTTTTTGCTTGCTTCATGGAGATCAAGGCCTAACAAAAGAAGATATGGCAAAAGCTGGCATATCTGGACATGTGTGTTTGCTGTGCAATATACTTTATATAGATCCTCTGGCAATAGTTCATAGGCAAACAGAATGTATAGTTGGGGCCAAGTGATTATTAATGACTTCATTAAAATCTTCATATAAGCCGGGCATGGTGGCGCACGCCTGTAGTCCCAGCACTTGGGAGGCAGAGGCAGGCGGATCTCTGTGAGTTCAAGGCCAGCCTGGTCTTCTTAGTGAGTTCCAGGACAGCTGGGGCTACAGGGAGACCCTGTCTCAAAAAAGAACAAAACAAAACTAGTCTTTAAGACTATAAAAAAGAGGGGCTGGAGAGATGGCTCAGTAGTCTGCGTCAAAAAGACAAAAAAAAAGAAATCTTCATATAAAGACAAAATTATCCATGAGAACAAGATTAGTAGATAGAGCATCAGTGAGATTTCAAAGCTCGTTATCTTTAAAGATGAAAAGACAAAAATATGCACTTTTAGTGGTATAATCTTCATACAATAGAAACAAAATACTTCAGTGTTTCAACAAGAGTTTGAAACGTTAAAAAAATCATTCCTTCAAAAACATATTTGGTGGGCCATTAGTAATAAAGAACTAGCTGGGTGGGCCACTAGTAATAAATAACTTACTAGAATCACTGCTAATAATTATTTAAACTTACCTGGTTATTGTATGCATCAGGTGCAAGTTTCTTGTATATCGGTGCAATAAAAGTTGACAAGTTTTGCAAATGAGACTCTAGCTTCTCTTCCTGTAAAAAGTGAGTGATTCAACACATTACATTCTAAAGCAATTTTAGATGTATATATACACACAGAGAGGCAATTAGTAAAAGGTGACTACTTCTAGTATAAGGTACAAAGGCCTGAGATGGACCCTAGCACCTGTGGAAAAGCTGTCTTCCTTAACTCCAGAACTGGAGGATCCCTGGGGCTTGCCCATTCTAGCAAAAATAGTGAGCCCTAGGTTCTGTGAGAGACCCTGTCTCACACAAGTATATGCAATCTTTTGAAGGCAAAGAGAGATGTCTATGCTGACCAGTCCTGCCTAAGGAAGAGAAGAGGTTACAGTTGTCTTCTGGATTTGATTTATATAAAACTAGCTAAAGTGACAAACATTTACCAACCACTGAAAAAGCATTCAGTGTGTTATATTTCTAATTTTTGTAAATTCTTTTCAATTGAATACATCCTTTGAGAATGTTTACATCACAGCTTTGAAAGCTTTTACACTTATTATATCTCATTTGCTGCTACAGTCACAAAGAATAAAGATAATAAATCTTACACTTAGTGAATTATATCAAGATTAATAACTAGTATAATGTAAATATGTATTTTAGCTATCCTTAAATTTCAAAAGATAAATATAAGGCATATAGAATGAAAATCTGTTCATATATGAACACTTAATATGCTGATATTTTTAGGTCACTCAACATACTCGAGTACATGCTGACCCAAATTTGTGTAAATTTGACAATTTACAAATTATGCTTTAATATGCATTTTCAAATAAAACACCTGATGGCTTCAATGAGAAATGTTGATTTATTTCAATTGAATGTAAATACTAAAAGTTAAATCTGTTTTAGTTACTTGAATGCATTCATTACACCAAGAGTGTGTGTGTGTGTGTGTGTGTGAGTGAATGAGACAGGTCTCCTGTAGCCCTGCTGGCTTGGGACTTGCTATGTAGCCCAGGCTGGCCACATAGAGATGAACCTGCCTCTGCTGGGACTAAAGGTGTGCGGCACCACACCTGGCTTCACCTCAGCAACTTTAAGCTGACTCTTATTGCATGGCTGGAAACGGTCTCATGAACGTGACTTCCATAATTCAAACTCAAAAATGAAAGATGTTACCAAACCAGATTTAGTTTTAACATTGACATTACGAACTTAAAGTGTGAAATCCCACATGTAAAAGTAATTTCAATGCTCAAATCTCGTTATACTCGTGTATAGTTATGCTATGGTTTTTCTTTTCCTTTTACTGAGGTTTTTTTTTTTTTTCTAGTTATGCTATGTTTTATAAAATACTATGGACCTGTGGTTTAGCTCAAATTTTGTAGATTCATCTGCTATTTTCCTCTATTAATAGGAGCACAACAGGCTATACTGTATGCATCATTAGCTATCTCTGAAAAATAGGCTGTACATTAGCATACGAACCAACCTCTTTCGGATCATCTCCAAGAAGCTTAAACTTCCTCGGGATCTTGCTTCTGGCAAACTTACATCCATTATAGTACATGCTCCAGGAACAACCAAAAGAAAAGGAAGCACCACAGCTTTCTGGATCCAGGCCCTGACAGGCACAGGTTCTCCTGAGAAATCAAAAGACCATATTCAAGGCTACAGACATTCTGTTCATTCATCAGCAAAGGCATCTCCTCTTCAGCTACTTCGCTTTTAAAAGGAAGAGCTAATTCTATCAGACAAACTCCATCTTTTGAACATTTGTGTTACAGAGTCTTTTTCATGTCTTAAAGGGATGGGGATATCTCTACTTAAAAAAAAGAAACAACTGGGTACACCTTGCTTTTATGATATTGTCATGTGTACCTACAAAAATTGTTTTTCTGTTTTGTTTAAAAAAATCTGGCATGGTCAATTAAAATGTACATGTGCACGTTTATAGAGACGGGACTGTGGAGATACAACTGAAGGTGTTTTCAGGGAAAATAATGTGGCATCTTGTTTTGATACAAAACACTAGTAGCACTAAGGGTAAAAACTGGAAAAAACACATGAAACAGTATGGGTAAAATATTGACTAATGTTGCAAATGTTTTGTTGCATTATTCCTTTAAAGTCCATTTGAAACTTCTGGTGAACCCAAGCCAAACAGGGTCCCAGCATAGATGGGGAAGTGGGTGGGACGGCCCAGCCGCAGCTGAGGATCTATTGGCAAGTAATGGACAGAGAGGGAGAGCCAATTTCCCTTACTGGTTGGTATAACACCTGACAGGTTGACCAGATCAAGGGACAAAACCATACCCAAGAGCAGTTAGGGGAAAGAAAAACAGTGATAGAGGATATGAACTTGTGGGAGATAGTAGGGGGTAAAGGGCGAGGTGGGTCTGAATATGATCAAAATACATTGTGCGAAATTCTCAAATCAATAAAAATACTTTAAATCTAACATCAGCCACCACAGCAGAAGGCATGACAGATACACTCCCACAAGGCTCACTTGCCAAAATAATACTGGTTAGGCTTAGTCATAAAATTGTAATCTCACAGGGAACTCTTTAAAGGAGAAACAGCTGCCTCACAGGAAACATAAGTCAGTTTTTCACTTTCTCTGTAAGATGCTCAGAGTTCACCCTGGACTCATGGTTGGTGGCTATGGTGTGTGTGGGCACAAGAGACTGTAAGAGCTCAGCCAGGTGCTCACACAGCTTTGAACATGCAACTGAGTCTGCAGCCCCAAATGAGATCATTTGCTATTCTCATCAAAAAGTCTTAATTTTAACTTCTGCCACCTAGAACATGAACTTTATTTATGCAGAAGTAATTTCAAGAGCTATTTTTGGGGTAAAGTCTCTATTACTACTCCGTAATATTTATCATTTTTATTTTGTATATCAGCTTGTGTACATGGACTTTTTATTTAAAAACTTTGGGAAGCAATCATGGTTGTGCATGCCTTTAATCCCACCCAGCACTTGAGAGGCAGAGGCAGGAGAATCTCTGTGAGTCTGAGGCCAGCCTGGTCTGCATAGTGAGTTCCTGGCCCCTGGAATCACACTAACTTTATTTAGAGCAATTAAACAAATTATAGATCAGAGCCTCTTGCCCAATCATTGTCAGTATTTTAATAATTGCAAAACAAGGCAGAGGCTCCTAATGCTTCTGTCAGGCAGCATTGGGGAACCTGCTCCCTTCTCTGAATGTTAACTCTGAAAAGCAAAAATATTCCTTTTCCTTCTTTCTATCCTTTTCTTTCAGATCCTGGCAAAGCCTGTGCATTCTTTTCTGGGCATTTGGGCTTTCTTGCTTTTCTTGAAGCTAAGCCCCACTGTCCCCGTCACTGAGCCCAATTGCATTCTCAGTGTTCCTAACTTTTAAGAGGTATGGCTTTCTCTTTTTCTTTTTTTTGGGGGGGGGGCAGGGTCTCTCTGTAGCACAGATGGCCTGGTACTCACTGTGTAGATCAGGCTAGCCCTCTTCTTTTTCCATCTCAGTCCTTTGAGCTGCCAAGATTTACAGCTTACCTGCCCTGTTCCTTTTCCTCTCAAACTCTAGCAAAATTGCCCTTGGGCTTTAAATAGCAAAGCAATAACATTTAAGGAGGCTCTTATGTGTTTTTTTTTTTTTTTAATCTGTCAGAGTCTATTTCTGGTAAAGGCATTTATAAGAAAACTAAGGAAAGGTCCTTAGGGGAAAAAGAGCAGAGATACATAAAATGTGAACGTTAAAGTTAGCATGAAGTTCAAGAGAGTTAAATATAGCTGTTGTTTTCATAAGTTTTCAGTAACTTAAAATTTTAAGGCATCCCTAAGAGGAATTGTGCTACAAAAGCTATGCAGTGTGGGGCTGGAGAGATGGCTCAGTGGCTGAGAGCACTGGCTGTTCTTGTAGGACCCGGGTTCAAATTGCAGTACCCACATGGTGGCTAACAACTGTCCATAACTCCACTCCAGTTCCAGGGGAGCTAACGCCCTCTTCTGTGGGCATTTCACAACACGAGTGCACTTACATACATGCAGGCAGTACATTCATAGACATAAAATTAAAACTTTTTTTTAAAAAAGCTATGTAGTGTTATTGAATTCCTGAGAAGTAAATGCATTCAACTTTTATTTCTTTCTGCATTTAAAGGAATGCAAAAATTTTTCCCACAACAGACAACAACAAAATTTAAGGTAGAGTGAAAAGCATTTTACACTTAAGGCAGTTCATAAGTTTGCAAGTTATGTGCAATAAACTGACCATGTGCCTTCAAATCATCTGTAAAAGTGAACTGCATTCAGGCACATTGTGTTCTCAGAATCACAGTTGTCATAGACAGCCATCACAATTTCATACAGAAGAGTAACTTTCTTAAATCAATTATTGATTATTTGCCCTGCACAAGCGTGAGAGACTGTGGCATCATGTGGGTAAAACCACGAGCCAATTATAGTCAGCAAAAGAAGAAATTTGATTAGCAGCAACAGGGTTGGTAAAACACAGGCATGGGTATTTCTGTTAGATCACTGAACTGTTTTGTGGTTTGGTGACTAGTGAGGTAGACTAAAGAAAGTATAAAACTAAAATTATTTTCCAAAAATTTTATAATCCTAGAAAATCATGTATACTCAGAGCCAGTAATTTTTCAATTATGTAGCAGTAGTAAGAACAGAAACAACTGTGGTAATAATGAGTTAGATTAAATAGAAAAAAAGATTTCAATTTCTATAGATCTTCCATAATTGTAGTTTGCTTGACTCATATGCATATACATGTCTGTATGATTTATATTCAGGGTCAATGACCTAGAAATCCCTGAGTTTGAAACAGAACTTGGTTTCATTTGGTGGAACATGAAGATTATCAGTGCTGACTCATGTTGTCAGGTGCCCGGGGGTGGGGAGTGGGAGGGGTGTGTGTCAGTTATGGCACAGAACACAGAAGCCTATTGTAAAACTGAAGTCACGTCGGTACAGATACCTAGACTTCCAGGAAACTATTGTTGCCCATTGACTGTAAGGTCTACATGGACAATATATTACTGAAGTCACTTATAAATATTGGTGTTGGTACAGCATGATATTGCCTATGAAATAAGTATTTTGGTCCCCACTTTACAAGTATAGCTTCAACCATTCTCCTTTAAGCCAAAGCTGGGTTCCTGACATAGCTCTAAATAAAGAGTGGAATGGGTCTAAGCTTCACTTACTCTTCGTTCAGGGCACAGCGTCGGTTAGTGAGTGTGCCATACTTCCTTAGCGTCTCCGTGAGCTCGGAGTAGAGTCTGTTAGCCAGAGTCACTGGGATTCCTTCCCAAACCAGGATGAGAATCACGATCACTGCGGTCTCACAGCTATGGCCAGCTCGCTCTCGAACTAAACACAGCAGCTTCTCCTCAGTGCCCCCTCTGCGAATCACCTGTGTTGACAACATTCCACCAAAACAGCCCCCACCCACCCCAAGCAAAACAAGGGTCATTGTTGGCAGATAGCAGCATTGACTAACATATGTTTATTTCTTCATGTCTGGATCAAAATTAAGACATCTGTCACCACCTGCAATTTGCCTTTGTTGCTCAGATAGACAGTGGGAGCTTATCCTTCAACTGCAAATGATCCTGCCAAACTATACTAATGATTAGCAGACTATGCCCAGTATAGGGGCATATCAAATACTACCTCTTATAGCCAGAGCTACATAAAAGTTATGCAAGGTCTTAGTTCAAGATTTTCATAAGTGACAATATAAATATTAACTTAGTGCTTAAAGAGCTGTTGGGCGTGGTGGCGCATGTCTTTATTCCCAGCAGAAACAGGCAGATCTCTGTGAGTTCCAGGCCAGCTGGGGCTACAGGGAAGCCCTGTCTCAAAAAAAGACTTTCTTCCTAATCTAAGGATTATGCTTTAAGCAGGCAATAAAATAGACCTGGACTTTACTACTAAATACTTTGTTCATGATTTCAACTGGTATGCCTCTTTGGCCTGAATAAGCATTGTCAAGTCATACTTACCCATTTAGCAATAGGACATCCCTGAGAACTTTTGCCTTCTTTACCAGTATAGATGGCTTTTTCAATCCTAATAGCTTTACCCTTCTGTCCAAACCTTAAAGAAACCCACAGAAACGCACAAAAACACACACATACAAACAATTAGCAAATGACTACAAGGGGCAATCAGAATATTCAAAAATTTAAGTGTAATTTTATTCTATGACCGTATCCTGCGAAATGATTTTATTTTTTAAAAATAGATCTAAGTCAAGCACACTGGATAATAGTCTTTCAGTATCAAAATATACCAAAAATTTTAATGGACTATTCTGCAATTACATAGTGGGTGAAAAAATACTGGGGAACCTATTTTTTTAAATTTTTTTATTGACTCTTTGTGTATTTCATACAGAAAATCATCTTTACACCCCCTTCCCCTTTGGCACCTCCCATAGCCCCCCCCACTGGAGTTCATACTGGGATACCTATTTTTACACAAAGCATGACATTTAAGTTATTTGCTAAATTCAGTTTTTGAAAACATTATTTGCTTTTCATCCTTTACTAAAGTTAGGTGTTTTAAAACTTAGAGAAATGTAATATATTTTAGCTAGAGCTAGTTTTCAAAGAAATTCAACATGTTTCTAAAGGGATCTAGCAAAATAGTGTCCAGCTATTTTTAAAATATAAGTTTATTCTAGAAATAGACTGTAATTCCCCCTCATGAAAAAAGTGCTATGTACTGTTTGCTAACAGAAAAAAGGTGCTAAGAGAATGCCTCTACTTCTCCCAAGGTACTGAGTGATTATGTGATAAACTTCTACATATCTTAGAAGTGTATGGTTTGAAAATAAAGCAAGGAGGCTGAATGAATGTGTGTGTGCTGACCATATGCATCCAAATATGTCTGCATAACACCTACTTATTAACAGAAAGATGCCTTTGAGTACTAGGATATCTATAGGAAAGTCTCCCTTCTACATGTAGGAGTTAAGCGTGGATGCCTCTAATTGACGGTTTAAAAGAGTAAATGAAATCTTTTATTCAATCTATCATACCTGCTTTCTGTTCATAAGAGAAAATTTTCTTAGAGATAACTACTCATTTGCAAAACTAAGAGACTTTGACCAATTCCTGATTCCTACAGCACTCCCCTTCTCTCCTCTTTGACACATTACCACCCAATGGGAAGCCAGAGTGGGGCCCCTCTGCAGCCTGTGCCAGCACCTTGTGCTTGGCAAGCTGACTGGTTTGGACTTTCTAGTGTCCATCTCCAAGTGGGCAGCCTTTCCCAGCTAACCAACTATTTGTCCTGTCGAATATTGTGACTCTCCACTGAAAGCACAGTGTGCAGGGTCGGCAACCCTGGAATAGCTAAGGCTAGTAATAATTACTTGATTTACAATTCTGTACAGCTTTGTGTGAGGGCTGGAAAAATTCTGACATATACAAAGGATGAATGTTAATCTGTCCTGTGCCTTTGTGTTAATTACCTTTCTTCCATGATTTCTCTAATAGCTGCCACATTGGGACCTGCTCCTAGATGGGTATAAAAGGGACCTTCATCTTTTTCAATAATTTGCTCTGTTGAGATAATAGAAGATTATTATTTTAGACCTCAATTATACTAAATATAAATGGTACATCCACAAAGATTATCCCCCAGCTGCACATTAAGGGCCCTAAGCAACTTTAAAGTTTTTTTCTTTAAAATGAGTATGCTGATGGACTGAGCTATTAGAAAATGTGCCACGTAATTAATATGTACATGGTGGCCATCTGGAAAAATGACCAGGTTACATTTCAGATTTTAAAAATTATTTCCAATCAAATAAGGAACAAAATTAAAAAACATTAAAGGCATTAGAATGTATTATATGTAATAAACTACAGCTCAATTTTTTAAACTGAAAATATAAAGCTAAGTAGTATGCCTGTCATTTGAAAGTCAAAACATTAAAAATTAAATATCTTATTATATTCCACTCCCAGAATATTATTCAGATTATTGTTAAGGGTCCACTTTTTCTGTGTATTTCCCCACAACATCTAGTTACTATTTTGAAAATAAGAATGTTATATCCAGACACTTATTTATATGCACGTTAGAGTAATCTGAGAGAAAATCCTCAGGAGTCAAGTAAAGGGACAGTATACACTACCTATGACATAGGAAGCTCGTTAGCCCTTCGAGGCAACCACACAGGGGCAGTCATCCTACAAAATGTGGCACGATATATTGAGAGGAACATCATGAGAAGGGTTGAACGTCAGCCACAATGAGGTAACAATTTTTTTAATGTCTTCTACTATATCCAATAGGACTAGATATAATTAAGATCTTCCAAAAGCAGAATTATTTCCTCATTCCCACAGACTTATCATATAATCTGAAGCTTTACAAAAGTTGTAAACAAAAAGAATACTATTTTTTTATCAAAAATAAAATAAAAAACAGGAATGATATTTCAGGAGACTAAGTGGAAAAGGGTTAACTTTGCTGTTCTCAGAACTTAGTCATTAGTTTCCCCACACATGAAGACTGAAGAGTCCAACTTTCTCACTATCCAGAAATCTTGAAAAACTAACTCTGATTCAAATTTTAAATTGTTTCATTAAACACTCCCATTTAAAGTTTCATTGGTTTGCATAAAGCAGTCATTTTTTTCATGTAAACAGATCTTTACTAACTGTATGTCCTCTCCAAGAGATGATATTCAAAGAGCTAAATATATCTAAAACCTTTATATTTTTAGAGATCGGAATGGGGGAAGAATGAACATGCAGAAGTGTTTCTTTTAATGCATCTAAGTGAAGTTTTCTTTTGAACAGCACATGTGTCTGTAAGTTAAAGACAAATTTAAAGCTCCAGTTTTTAGTAGCCTTCAAAAATGGTTCTGAGACTCAAGACTTAAAAAGAAAACCCTATATATACAGTTAGATAATTCTGGAAAAGCAACATATGCTTCAGCACATCACTGGCACTTACCTACACATCTGCATGATGGGAAATCATATTGAGTCTTGACAGGTGTATCCAATAAATTCTTTATAGGAGTATCTAGTAATTTGGAAGGTGACTCTAAAAAATTATTGAGAACAGAACCGGCTGTTCTTTTGACTGGTGTCTTTTCTGGAAGTGTTGCTTGCTGCTCTAAAGGTGGAACATGGCTATCAAATTCTGCGGCATTGATATTTGTAGATAAAACTGTGACTGGCCCTGATGTTTCCACCTTTACATGCTTCTGGGACTTGAGGGTCAGGGCCTTATGGTCAAACAGAGACTTGACCTGAAACTGCTTCAGCTGCTGCTCCATGGTCTCAATGATGCTTCTCTGCTGCCCGCTGTCACAGCTTGGAGGGGGAATCTCTAGCTTCGGTTTTCTCCACATTTTGTTTTCTTGTGCTGACATGGGGTGCATACAGGCATAGGGTTTGGATCCAGGCTCAGTCTTGATTGGCCTGTGTGTTTGATTATGACAAAACTCAGCCTGGGATTGCTGTGTTTGCTGCTGTTCTTGCCTGTGTAAGAGATGCCACCTTAGGGCATGCTTCTGAATGTCCTTCTGTGGAGAGGTCTGAGGGTGACTTCCTCCCTGGTCAGGCACAGGAAACACCTTAGCTTGGCTAGGCATCGTGTACCGTTGCTGAGCTAGTTCACCTTGTTGTCCAGATACATCTTGGCTTCTGTTTTTATATCCCTGTAGAACAGAAGCTGGCTGAGGCTTCTGTTCTTGTTCTGGAAAGCACCTGTGATGAGCTTCTTGCTTTGGGGTCACATTGTTTGGAAAATATTGCATGTGTTGCAAGTTTGGGGTCTTATTTCCTGCAAAGAGTTCAGAATGTATAGTTTGAACTTTATTCTCAGGAACTGGGTGTGCATCACTTGAACAGGAAACCTGTGATTTGTTTGCACTTGATTTGAAGGCCTCAGGGTAAGGGGAGTTCCTACTGTTCATACTTCTCATTTGCTCCAACCCCGCTTGGGGACTGTGAGCTTGGAACTCCCTGGATTTTGAATACTGATTTTTACCACTAAAGCATTCTTCCAATTTAATCTGGCCAAAGAATGATCCTTCTCCTTGCTTATCATTGCTACCCTGGAGATGAGGATAGGTCTGAGGCATTTGTTCTTTATTCTTAATCTGTAATTTCTGCTGCTGCAGCTGTGGCTGCAGCTGCTGGTTTTGAGGAAAATGCGAGTTCTGGATTGCTTGTGTCTGTGCTGCCTGCTTGTGAGGCTTGTGTTGTAAAAAATTTGAGTTTGAAAATGTCTCAGTCCCTGAAGCCTGTTGATGCAAGTGCTGTTTTAGCAATGGGGACATGAGATTTTCAGACTGAGGATCTGCTCTTTCCTGGAAATGAAATCTAGACGCACACGATGACTGCATGTGAGCTTTAGGTAAAAGATCTGACTTGGAGATGTGCACCGGGTGTGAAGATTTTGAAAACTGGAGATGTTGGTCCACCATACCTGAAGACTGCCCTTGATTCATCTCAACTTGGTACCTTTGTGACTTCTGCTCTGGCTGCACTGTTTTTGGCATACAAGCCTGCCTTTGAAACCCTCCAGCCACCTTAGAATTTCCAGTGCACTGTTTAGAGGTCATGTGATGAGAAGGGGTAGGTGGATGCGCAAGGACTGAGTGCAATGATTCCTCATTCCGGTTTGGATGAGACTCTGCTGGAGGAAAATGTGAGGCCTTCAGTTCAATCCAGCCGGGCTTTACATAGTGCTGTGTAGGAAGCACAGGTTCTCGTGTTTTTTCCCTGTCTCCATCCTTTGGGATCTTGTGCTCTTTGTGTTGCATCAAGAAATGGCTGTGGCGTTGTAAACCCCCACTGCTACCATGATTAGGTGGGCTGTGTTTGAGAGGCCCTGACACTGTTCTCGTTTTCTCAGAGCACAGTGGGGCACTCCTTGTCCCTGCTGTCCCCATGCTGTTCTTATTGGCACAATTAATCTGATGCCCTTCTGGAAAGAGGGAGAAGTTGGATGCATGTGCAGATGGAGTAGGGCTCTGGGAAGCTGATGCCTCAGGTTGTTCTAATTTCCCTTCTCTTAAAAGAGTTAGGCTACTTTGGTTGGGGTAGTGATGGTGTTCTTCCAAAACCCCATCATTCAGAGTACCTTTTCCTTCTGAAGGAGGCAGAAGAATGGAGGGAGGAGGAAGCAGTCGTGATGGTGGTGCTGGGGTAGCAGCAGAAACAGAATTTTTAGTGAACACTGAGCTTTGCTTGAAGTAAGCACCATTAATTTCATTTCTCTTTAAATACTGCTCGCAGCTGCCACTAGAAGCTTGCAAATCACTTTTGGAACTTGAACAGAATTCTTCAGCAGATAGCTTCGTGTTTCCTTGGATGTTATTGTTTTCTGCAGGAGATGGGCATATTTCAAAAACTGATTTTTGTTGATGGTGGTGTTCTGTTTTCTGGAAGGGACAGGCACCTAGCACTGCTTTACTGCCATTATCAGCATCATGGGCCTCAGTCACCATCGCAGCTGGCTCTGGGGGCAGCTGGGAGGTCTGTAGGGAATTGATCTGCCCTGAGGTATGCGATGGATGAGTGATCTCCCTAGACAACTCATTAGTAGCCTGACTGTTAATGGCATTTATGTGAGATGTGGTTTTCTGCACTGCAATGGAAACACAATCTGGATAATATTGAGACAGTGTTTTTTCCAGGAGTTCACCATGTGTGTTTTCCATGGAAGAGGCAGAAACTGTAGCACCATTAGGCATAAGTACTGCCTTGTTTTTAAGAAGTAATACAACGTTCTTGGCATTTTTCTTCTCCTGCTTGTTGAGAATCTGAAGCTCTGGGTTTTCAGAAGGACTGCAGTTATGTGTTGGAAAATCAGTGCGATCTTTCACTGCATTTTCTAGGGCTACAGAGCTTGCAGACTCTCGGCTATCACTCAAACGGGAGACATTTGGTTGACTGCTGTTTTCACCTGGGTGTCTTTCTTGGCTTTCCCCGAAGTTCCTTCTTTCTCCATTAGCTTTTTGGTCTAGTTTCAATTTCTTGTTCGGATGGAGCCCAGAGAGAGATGGTTCACTAACTGTGCGTTTTATCCCTCCATTTTGCAAGCACCTGGAATACCCTCCGTCTTCACGTATGAAGTCTGGACTCACACGATTGCTCTGGCTGCCCTTCATGTGGGGTATTCCATGATAGCTTTTGAAAGACTGCCACCTGGTGTCTCCATTGACTTCTGGATGTGATCTCTCGGCTAATGGGCTTCCATTCTGGAGTTTGACGGCCAGAGGTTCTGTCTGGCAGATGGGAGCAGGTGATGGTATCAAGAATGGACTCAATCTGTTGCCATCAGCATGGGTGGTTCTATCCTGTTCCATCAGGCTTGCTTCGGGGCCATCCACCAGGCTGCCCTTTGAATGAATCCTAAAGAGGACAAAAAATAAAATTAAAATGCATTACTGTGCACCTAACATTAACACACAGGAGGCAAGAGCTAGCATGAGTAATACAGGGATGCCTAGGGCTAACACGCTGATACTGAGTAAAAGCTACTCAGGAAGTGGTTATTCTTGTTTTCCCAGCAGCTCAAGTATTTATGATCATGGGGAAAAGGAACAATGAAAGCCAGCAGATACAGTGGGGGGGGGTGTCATACTTTACTAGAACTTATAGCAATTTCCTTCCCAAATTCTTCAGTCAGCATGTTAAGAATAAAGAAAAAAACCCTGTTTTCTCTAGCACTTGTTTTTCACATCATTTCTTTTCCTACACAGTCCTTGAATCATCTCCCTTGCCGCTGTCACTCAGGTCTATATATTATTTACTCATGATCCCTATAAGAGCCTGTTGAAACTGAAACCCACTCTCAAGTTCTTCAAAACTACCTTCAATTTGTCTTCAAAAGATCAAAAGAATGTTCTAAATGTAATCCTGATGTCATGACCTCCTTATCAAATTTTATTAACTTTGCCTGGCTTGGTTTTCAAACTCTTTCACTTGAACACACTTAAGAGACAGGTCACACGTCCCTTCAGTGTTTTCAGTATCCTAGGTATGAGGCAGGGTGAAAAGCTGAGGGGAAAATGTGCTAAGAAACCCATCATATGTGGTGGGAGAGACGATGGCTCAGGACGCAGGAGTGCATACAGTACTCTGTCTGAAGACCCGAGTTTGGTTCCTAGTGTCTATGTTGGGTACCTCACAGCTGCCTATAACTTCAACTCCTGAAGATCTGACACCCTCTTCTGGACTTCTTGGATGCCTGCACTCACATGTTCACACACACACACACACACACACACACACACACACACACA